ACTTCTTATAGGATATGCAGAGTGACAAGCTAATAGTGCCCCAGTCCTGCTGCATCCTTACTGCAAGCTGAAGTAACCTAGAACACAACAACGCTACAGTTTAAGCAAGCTATTTAAACAAGATGATGACTTCACACCATCAAGATAAACTTCCATCAGCTTTCCTTCCTTTTTACTGGCTCACTCTGGTAGCCCAGGACAAGCACCCCAAACCTGTTTGATGGATGTGCTGTGAAATCAGCCCTCCCTGGTTCAGCTCCTGCCACTGAGGCAGCTTCTTTCCCCACCACGGGTTCTCAAGGTCTATAGATATTGAGACCTGTAAGAATAAATATCCAGGAGACAGCAGCTGTGACCCATTTATTACTGAATGCTGCTGCAGGGCACAGCTGAGGAAGGCAGGGCAGAGGAAAAGCACTTGCTGCAAAGGGCATGGTGGAGAAAACTCAGGTGCCCTTGGAAGAAGTACTCTGCTTGCAGCACTGCTCCAGCTCCCAGTTGGCAACAGACAATTTAGATCAAGCAGGGATGTTCAAGTACTGCCATGAGGGCTCCTCTCACATCACTGCTGGGAGGCAAAATATAAAAGAAAAAAACCAACCCAAAAGAAAAAAATCTAAAAAACCAATTAAAAAAAATCTACAGAAGCCAACAATGGACTGAGAGGCCACAAGAGCATCGTGTACCAAACAAGCTGGTAGAACTGCCCCGGTGCAGGTAAATGCATTTGAAAAGATCTATTTTGACAATAAAAATCTGAGATACCTTTGCCCAGAGCAGGGCACAGGCAGAGGCAGGAAGGAGAAATGCCGTGGAGGGAAGCAGAGCACATACAGCAGGCACACTTAGCAGTTGAGCCTTTGCATTTGCCGATTGAGTTCTGCCAGTACCGAGCAATGGCACAACAGTACACAGTGTGTCCTCAGAGCACCCCCTGACCCCCCTGCAGCTGCAGCCCGGCCCCACTCTGGTCACCCATCAGAGCGGCGGGCCAGGGTGACATTGTCCCCTCCTGAAGAGGGACAGTAAGCGCCTGTGAGCCCGCTCATTTTATTCACTGCACAAGCACGTTTCCAACTGGGATAATCTCCATTAAACCATCTGCGCTGCCATGCTCGCCCGGCCTGCACCCGCTGGGCTGCCTGCGATACTGCAGCATCTGTGAACCGGCACAAGCGGATGCCACGTCCCTTTCCCAATCAGCTAAAAAAACCAACGGAGACTCAGACACAACAGATGCACCTGGAGGCTTTGACGTGCTACCGAGCCAGGCTACCAGGAGTACCTGTGCCAGGGCCTCTTCTGAAAGGCACACGGCTCCCCTTGAGAATTTAAGCCACTTCCTTGCCATCGTGGGAAGACATCATGTCCCAGATTGCCAGAAGAGGAGGGCTGAGAACAGAGTAGAGGTTTCAGCCTCAACGGCTGCCCTGGTGCAGAACAGAAGTGTTGCTTGCCAGGTCATGAATACAGTTTGGATCAGAAACTCTGAATGGCTGCTGATCCCCAGGATTTAATTTCTTATTTATCTCAGTACCTGCTTTCTAGAAACAGGGACTATCACATCACATTCCCACATGACTTGGACAGAAACACAAGAGAGTGTTACAATGAAAGATCTGAAACTTAAATCTGCTGCCCCTTCAACCCCAAGACCTCCCCAGCATAGCCCAGTGGAACCTACAGAGAGTATGATAAAGCAGCTGCACTGAAGTGTGAATTCAGCACTGAGAGAACGTGACCCTGTCCTCAGCATTGCCAGAGACAGCCAAGGGACTTGGGAGTCACTCCAGCTGTTGAGGACATAGCAGGGTGGTAACGGGTCTGAAGCAAAGATAGAAAGCCATCGATCTGCTTTAACTGTGATCACTGCTTGCCTTAAACAAGGTCACTGGGCTGCCCAACACATACCTTTCCTGGAAGAAAATTTGTCCTGCAGGGTCTTGCCCTCACAGGAGTGGAACAGCACAGCAAGGCTCACCCTTCAAACCTTCCAGGTCTTTTATGGTCCCAAAAAGGAGGCAAATACTAGCAGCAGGTGATGGGACAAGAGCAGGAGTCTATTTACATATTTCCTGCACTTGCCTTCACTTATTTGTTTTGCAAGTTTTTATTTTCCAGAGCAATTTATAAACAAGAAGTGAGACAACCATTTACTCAGACAAAGGTTAATAGGGGCCTAGCAGTCTCTGAAGACTCTGCAGACATACTTAGGTGTGAAATCTTGGAGCAGCAATAAAGATGCTGCACAGACAAGCAAGTCTCAAGAGAAGAATTTAATCTGTCTAAATATTCTCATTATGTACATAGTTTTCAGCTTCCATTCACAGTAATCAGAGCAGAGACAGCTTCCAGAAGCCTTTTTAGACAATAAGGCATAAAAAAGGATTTTTACGTCAGCCATTATTCTTCTCTCCATCCCCAGCCTGAAGAGTCAATGTTTGAAATGGTTTTTGTTGAAAAGAAGACACGGTGTTGGGAGAGAAAAAGTTGACAGGAGGAAGGCAGCACGGGTCTTTGGCAGACTGGTGAGACTTGGCACAAAGCAGCTCCCATTGGCACCATTTGTCCAGAAAACCTCAAATAGATTATTCTCCTCCAAAATAGGTTTTCTGTAGGGTCATGCACAGAGTATGAAATATAACACTAGTTCCAGAAAACTGCTTCACTGGAACGGGCAAGAAGTTTCAGTTACATCCACACATCTTCCTCCTAAAAGTCACTTAAACCTAAATAAGTACTGAGATATGGTAGGAAAACTAGAGGCAGGCATCTAGGACAAAAGGGCTGATCCAAAAACTCAGCTGCTTTCTTTTGGGATCACAGTGTCCATCTGTCCCCTTGCCACAGGGGAAACTTGTTTGCAAAAAGAGACCTTGTTTGTCCACTGAAACGTGGAACGTGAATTATTCCACCAGGCAAGAATTCAAAATAGAAAGTTAAGAAAACAGAATAGTTCTCTATGGGTATGATCCCCTGGGACCAAGAGAAACTGTACTCTTGATGCATTTCTCCCCTCCTCACTTTTGTGTTACATTTTCTTCTTCAGACAGGCAGGTTTCAGCTTTTCTGTCATGCTCAAAACTCTACTTTTATACACAAGAAGCTTGGACGAAATGTGTAGAGATAATTACAGTGGTTTACTACTAAATTTTTTGCTTGAAGCCAAGTGATTTCCTTGCAATGCCCTCCCATCCCCAGGTTTCTCTCAGAAAGTTTAAGAGCTAAACCAGTCACTAGTTGTCCACACTGCAAACAGGACAGGGAGGAAAATATTAACCAGGACAGCAGGTGAAAAATTTTAGCCAGCACAGCCACTTCAGAGGTAGCACAAACTCAAAGCCAGGGTCAGTACTGTGGTCTGAGTGTTTTATAAATGATTACATCTCTTATCCCTCTCTAAAGAGGTCACCATCCTCCCCGTTTTCTGGAGAATGAAATCACACAGGCCAAGCAGGGAGTGGGACCAGAAGAACTGGAGGCAGAACAAGTCCCGGTTTACTCCTACCCTCACCCAGTAAGAAGAATTAAGAGACTTTTACCAGAAAAACAGAATTCAGAGGTAATGCTGACAGCCAGAAGTATCCTGAAAACAGTGATTGTGAAAACTGACCTCCATCAGTAACCCACTGCAGACTGGTCTGCTCTCCCACAAACAATCCCACTCTCCATCTAAGAGGGCACAGAGAACAACATTGAAGCCTCATCCTAATTACTGAGCAGGAAAGGATTAACCACTAGCAAAGGCTTGGCAGATATTTATTCTCCAAATCCACAAGACAAGCAGAGGGAAAAGCTCCTCTGAGAGTTATGTACACAGACTGCAAGTCTAATGCTTACACAGTCTTAATTTTTTTAATTTTGCAGGTCCTAACAACAATTATCTTCATGAATTATAGACATAATATCCGAGAGACACAGGCAGTAATTAATGCATGTCTGCCTTTTCTGACTAGCTCCTTCTGCTGGGTCAGGGAGAGTTATTGAAATTCAGGAAGGAAATCTTCAATCTTCTAGAAGTTTTAAAGAAACACACTGAGACAAAATTTAATAAAGCAATAATATTTCTCTTAAATAATTAACTAGACTTTGACATTCACTAATATTTCTGAGGCCCAGCTCTTACTTTCGCAATAACACTGGATGTGATCCACTGCATGCCCAAAAGGAACTCACTCCAAAATTACCTCTGGATTTCCCTGCACACACACAGCAACCCTCATTCCTTCCACTTAAAATTCTCACTGAGACCCTTAACAGAAGCTACACAAGCATCCTTTCTTCCTCCCATTTTGCCCTGCTGACATCTGTCTCCAAATACGAGCGCTCAGCACTCCCCAGGCTCTAGAGAAGCCATGTTCATCACCCTCTGGGAAAAACTCTGGGTTCAGAGCAGAACCCCAGCACAGCATTAGATGCAATAGACAATCCTGAACTAGACAGAGCTATTACTAAGGCAATGTATAGCACTGGATGTTGTCTAAGCTGGTTGTTTCCATCATCTTTCAAGTAGCAGATTCTCCTGCAGCATTAACAATTTTATTCACATAAAGAATGGACTCAATGATCCTTGTGAGTCCCTTCCAACTCTGGGTATTTTATATTCTAAGCACTCAAGTGAGTTTAATGTACTTCAGTATCTTGACAACAATTACCCCCAAGCAAATATTACTTAGCCAGCCACTGAGAAAAACAGTGAAGAAAAACCCAGCCTTTGGCAAAAACATCTCACCTGTTTAAGCAATATAAAGCTACACATCAAGATGGACACAACTCAAACTCAAAACCGTAAGGATCATTATGATGGCCAACAAGTTCAAACACAGCCATGTCACCAAGAAGAGGGAGGGGGTATTTGGCCAAAAAAGTCAGACGGAATCAAAAGTTTCATATTCTGTTGTTCACTTGAACTACATTATTTCTACAAGAAAAAAAAATCCCTATGCACTAGAAGTAGAGTTTGAATGGTAACAGTGGTCATCCCAATCCCAGAAGCTCACCAGATACAGCCTGTAAGCATCAATCCTTCGAATTGGCCCCCAGCACTTGTCCGTGTCGTTGTACTTTGTGCCATCTCCAACACTGCAAGAATGGTTGCCAGTGACACTGCTGGGAAAGGAGGGAGAAACAAAAGACAGTAATTAATTCCTAGCAGATGTCTTCCCCTCTCCTGCATTCAAGAAAGAAGAATGAGCAGAAGCCAATCTTCTTCTCTGTCCCTGATCACACTCATTTCCTTACATTTTCTGGACTGTGTAACACAGCAAGTCACTGAGTACCAGAGGTTTAAAGGCAAATTCTTGAACTGCCTGCAGTTATTTGCAAGTTTTGTCATTTAATCATCAAGCTGGTGAGCTTAGATCTTTTATGGATCGCTGGGATTTTCCATTTTCGAGATAGAAGTCCAAATCTAGCCCAGATTTGATCAAACCAATCTTTTTTATTATCTGTTTCTTTGAGAAAGGTACCACTCCCAGTCCAGAGCTAAGTCCATGTACCATCACCACTCACTAGCCTCAGGCTTAGTAAGTACCACACCCCTCAACTCTTACTCAAAGAGACAGAGAGGGCAACATATTGCAGAGTATTGCAGTCAAACTATGGAGCAACAAGTCTCATGGCTGCAAGTGGTGAAGCTGGAAATATTTCACACCTGAGGACTTGTCTGGAAATCAGGTCAGCTACTTTGCAGGCAGGCAGCAGGCACTCAGGTGGGGAATACAAAACAACTTCACCTCCCACCCACAAGAGATGAGCTGTCCTTGAGTCATTTCTCCACCCCCTGCTTTGGAAAGCACAGCTAATCCTGGTAAGTCAGACTTATCACCCCATCAAACCCTAAGCCTGCCCTGTTCCCTGGCAGCACACAGCCCCTCAGGAGCAAGCACACTTACCAGGTCACCTGCATTAGGGAGACTGGCACCGCTGCTGCATAGATTGCCAGATCTCCATAGAGGTAGATAATTATGCAGAAATAGAAGAGGTTGACACCCACTGCAGAAAAAGAAAATATTGTCCAGATTCAGCAGAGTACACAGAGACTCTTGTTCTCTGCACTTCAAATATACAAAATTTTGAAGATCTTAAATCACTATTTGCCATAGTTTCTGCAGCAAACTTCACCCAAGCTTAGGGAAGGAACTGATGGGGCATGAGGGGTCTCAGAGCTTCACTCCACCTCCTTCAATACTTGGCACTGACACTACATAAACCCTCTAGTTCAAGCCCATCCTGCAGTCCAGACCAACAGGTCTCACATAAGTCACCTGCCAGACAAAGCTGTCAACTCTGAACAGCCACAGGCAAGCATCCAGGTGATGCTCTCAGACTCAGTGTGAACACAAAGTAAAATGCAGAGAGAATGATTTTAGGCTCTGCTGATTCCAAATCCTCTGACTGCAAACCTGCAGGACCTTCACAATATGGATTTGTAGAGATCTGGCCCTGCAGAGCTCAGATTTCAATGAATCTGAAATGGAGCTGCTTTGGGAGATTCCCTACCACTGGCCACTGGAGCCAAGGTAAAATCCTGCAAAGCTTTAACACTGTTTCTGCATCTCACTTACCCTGATGCCATCATATACACTGTTCCTGCCCCTACTCATTTCTTTGGATTAATTTTTTCCTTTTTTTAAAATTATTTTTAATTTAAAGCTTGCCCTGCCTTCACCTACGAGATTAAAAGAAAATCTTACACAAATTAATTGGGGGCACAGAACGGCCTTACTGAGGCCCAACAAGACACTGCTGTGAAGGGCTAAAATCTAAAAGGGATAAAGAAATGCTTGATGATTCTCTTCTTGCAAGCAAGTCTGTATAAATCTCACCAACAAATTGGAAAATATTTTATTTCAGAGTCAGATGAGTTACAGAATAAAAGCCTCAAATTTATACAGTTTAGAAGTTGATATTGAAGGAAAACAGCTCAAGAAATCTGCTCATACTTACAAGTTGTGATGCCACCTGATGCTTAATCCCAGTGCAGCTTGAGCAAACCTCACACTCACAGCTGTGACAACTATCAAACAAGGACAACACTGCTGCAGGGATGAGGACTCATTCCTACAGTGCTTAGGTGCCCCAAAGCTTTACCATGTTTTGCCATCATACTGCCCCTGGATGTCTGGAAACATTATTAGGCAACCTCCTTTGTTTAAATAAATTATTCCATATGCTGAGCCTGCTTAGCATGAAAGGGGATGTATGAGGAAAGCGCTGAGAGAACTTCCCTGCTTCTGTACAGTAGCACACTAAATCAGTGCTCTAGAGTCGTTCCTGAAGACAAATGGACTTACTACAAAAATTGAGAGATCATTCTATGTAGTTCTCCCCTTGTTTTCTTGCTCTGTGAAAGATGTCTTCGCAGTTAGGGAGTCTCTGTGTTGTTCTGGAGACAGCAACAAACTACCTACCAGTCTTATCTAATTTCTCATTAGGAAGGGCTGAAGGTTTTTAAAAATATCTGACATAGGACAGAAGCTGCAGAGACACTCAGTACAACACAGATAGATTTCTGTTTTGGGATCTGTGACTGGTCTCAGGACTCAGCTGCCCCACACACACAAAATAAAGTTGACATGATCAGCTAAGCCACAGCAGCACCACCCATACCCAGCAGCACCTCCATTCCAATGCAGACCTCTGTGTGCAGGAAGCACAGGTGACACTCCTCTCCCAAACTCATGCTCTCCAAGACAGGAAGACTTTAGCATGAGCTCTTTTATAAACGGCTCCTGACCCTCCCTGATCAATACTTTCATTACTGGGCACAAAATGGGGTGAAAAAAAAAAAGCAATTACTTCCTGTGAGGAAACAGCATGATAGATATGCCTAGAATCTATTACTGCAATAAATGACTGCTCATTCCCAGAAGAAAGCACCCAACATTAAAAAAATAATTATATCAAGAAAAAAGTAGTTTTTCAGAGCCAGCTCTTTCAAAAGAGCACACAGTCTCTTCAGAGCCTAAACTTAAGTCAGCTCCCTTTAAGAAAGCAGACAATCTGAAATTGAGATTTATCCCCAGCTTACCTCCTAGGACTGCAGATTCAACTCCTGTCAGATTGTTGAAAATAAGAATCAGTCAAGGGAAAGGAGCAGAGAACTCACTAGAAATCAGGGGTTTTGAGGTCTACTGCACAGCTTTCATCAGCCTTCCCTCCAGAGGCTGTAAAGCCCTCCATCACCTTGGATTTGGAGCCATACTTTGTATATCATGAGTAAACATCCAGACATTTGCCAGCTGTGAAACCTCACAGGCTGGTGCTTGGAGCTAAGAGTTCCCCAGTATGGCCCAGTTTCTCAGCACTAAGTGGTCACTGAGCAGCTGCCCTTGCTGAAGGCCTTTCTGTGCAGCTGTGGGGAGGGAGTACCTCAGCAGGGACCTGCAGAGGGAGGTCCTTCACCTGTCTGTGTCTGCAGCCACTCAAAGGCCACAGGGTGTCTGTGAATCAGTGACAGAGATGGAGCCTTACTGCTGAGATCAGACAAAGGAAAAGCAGCACACGAGTCACAGCTGCCTCAGGCCCTTTGCTGCCTGCACCTCATCCCATCTGGAAGTCACAGGTAGGGTCAGCCTGCTGTTCCAGCCACCTTCCTGCAGATGGATTCACCCCTTTGGATGGGCTGAGCAGACCCTGGGGAGGATCCCTAACACAGAAATCAGATAACTCTGGCTAAAGCAACGTTAAGAAGAGGGATTAAGATTTAAGAGTACTAAGCAGTTTATTTAACTTTGCTTTGAAGCTCTGTCAGTGCTGATGGAGAGAGGACACATATCCCCAGCACCCTCTACTGGCTGAGCACCAGAGAGGCCCAGAACCTGCCTGGCCTATGGGGGTCCTTTCCAGCTCCCCTGTGAAGCACATGCGAAAAAGGGGCCTCCTGAAACTTGATGAGAACACTGACTCCTGTGATCCCCATCCCCCCACAGCCCAATCCTCAGCAATACTGATAAACCCTGTTAAATGATTGCTCTCAAAGCACTTCTTGAATATTACTCCTCAGAAGAACATCTAGAGACAGGGGTGTGTTCACCATATTTTACACACAGCAAAGAAAACAAGAAAACTTGCCTAAGGTTATAATAACTCAGTAGTACAGGCAAGACCAGGAACAAGATGTTTCTGACACACTTCACTTCTCTGACTAAAAACATGGCAGCCTAGTCCAAGGTGGATTATTTTGATAGTCCGAAGTGATTCAAATCTACAAAATCCCAGAAGAGGCATGCAGCAAAATTAAAAAGTTTTTTTCCAATTAACTTTAAAATAAAAAAATAAAGTTCAAAGAATATTCACTCCCCTTAAGCCCAGCTGTCCTTCAGAGGCAACAGCTTTATGCTGGTGTAACACTGATGCAATGTAGTGGAAAAAACCCAGCCTTCCATCACCTCTTTACAAGGTGGCCAGCAAATAAGGGAAAATATCACTTTCCACAAAAAATGGGGCCTGACAGGCTCAAAACTGTACAGCCATGGTGTCTGCTGATGTTCTGGCTGTGTGCAGCATTTCATTGTCCTGCTTTACAGGTTTCAGAATCCTCATTGCTGTGGTTTGCATTTCTATCACGCGCAGCAATGGATCGGGATTTATTAGAGCAGGGTTACAAGTTTGTTCCCTGGCATACAAAACACACTTAAAAGCAAAAAGACAAGCCAGCTGTCTATCACATCCTCAGCAGGGACCTCTTCAACAGTTCATGTCCCAGTTCTCTTGATGATTCCCCAGACAATTCCTAGAAGCTCCTATAAGAAGTCTCTCTCCTTCAGACTGCTATTTACAAGGCTCAGCGAAGCCTGAATGTCTTACTCTCAAATGCTACAACCAAAATGCAACTGGAAAACATTACTGCTAGGCTCTACTGCTTCAGACAGTGGAGATCACAGAGGACAGGTGCAGTTCAGAAGCAGGTGAAGTGCAGTCAGAAAAGGCACTGACTTACACTTGCCTGTATCAAGAAACTGCTCCCATAACCTGCAATGTTTTGCTGGTTCCATGCCTATCGCAGCCCATAAACACTTTATAGAAACCCCACACAGGAGGATGAATACAGTCCACAGAGAGAAGGAACAGCACATTTGGGTGGAATTATCACAAACCCACACCAAGAAGCATGCAAACTTATGGAACAGCCATACACACAACGTGCAGGAGGACCCAAAGGGACTTTTGAAAATATTCACTTACCTTTATTGAAGAACATGGAAGCCATCTGACCCATTTCCACCCTCTCAGTGATTTCAAAGATATTGGCTGAGCCACGCCTCTCTGCAAGTGAAAAAATAAGAAGCGTTTCAACCAGTCTCTCCAATAAGGCCTAAGGCCAGATTACCCGGATACTTGGGAAACTCTAGCAGCAGTTTGAAGGACAGTATGTACAACTCCACAGCTGCAGTCACTGGGCCAATTACTCTGCTGAAGCTAGTTTAAAGGTGTTTAGAAAATAAGATGTTCTCATCTTAGTGACCTAGAGGGAAAAGATCTTTATCAGGCTGCAGAAGGCAAACTGAATTCTCAATGAGTCTTATCTTGCAAGTGCTGAGGACTTTGAGATGAGAGCATGTGGAATTAAGGTGAAATGGACAGAGGAGTCCACTGAACACTGTCTACAGAGAAGAGGCCTCACACTGGTGAAAGCATGAACTGGGTACTCACGAACTGACAGGATAGGCCGCGTCTCTGCTCGCTCGTAGCCATCTTGGAGGAGAACATCACTGTCAGACACTCCAGAGGAAGAATCTTCGTCTTCATCATCCTCCTGGATGAAAAGATCAAACCACTGCTGAGATATCTGCTGCCCACATTATAGACTGTGTCACTCCCAGTGTCATGGTCACTTCCAGACATTCAAGGAAGGTCCCAAACAGGGAGAGGAGGACATGCAAGCAAAGCAATACCAGGGAGCCCAGGGGATGCTGTGAAGGGCAGAAGAGGACACTAGCAGAGCAGGCTGAAGTGAGTGACAGGCTCTGCTGTCCCAGCCCCAGGTCTCACACACACACACACAGCCACACTGCCCAATTCATGCAGTGATAAGTGACACAAGGAAGTTGGAAATTTCAGGCAGATCGGCAGTGTTGCAGAACTGAGAGAAAAAAAAAATCCATGTGTATCTAAATGCACAAGCAGGTCTAGTTCCTAACTCCATCCCACTAACACCAAGCCAGGGGTCTAAATCAGTGCAAACAATTATGCCTCCCTCTGATCCACTAAAGCCACAAGTAAGTTTTACAGCAAGGACATAATTCAGAACTGTCCACAACCTGGGATACTGCCCAAGTAACAGCAAGGACATCCCAGCCTGTCCCAGTTAAATGACCTGAGATCAGCAAGGATTTATAGTCCTCAGCACACTCCAAATAGCACCAATATATTGGCTGCCACCTCTCCACATTCACTGAGCAGGGCTTCTGGGCAAGGAGAGCGTGAAGAAGAAATTTCAGTAAGAAATGTGAACGGCACAATAGATTTTTCAAAGCAGGAGCAGAAAATGCTGTCTTTAATGAGCAACCCCACAGGGAACTAACAGCTATATTTTATATGGCAAAGTTAAGTACAGTAGAAATTTATTTCTTTAGAGTTAGTAACGAAGCAAGGCAAAGATGCAGGGGAATGCCAGGAAAATCCTATGTGATAAAACAACGGGAAGAAAAGGAGAATTAAACCCCACACAAACTTTGCGTTTTTCCATTCTCTTCCATCTCAGCTGGGCATTTGCAGCAGCCATGGCTTCCACCACAAAGGTCGTTGTCATATAGCTACAGAGAGAAGAATTCAATTGGTATCATCAGTAATAGTCAAGAACTGTCACTGAAAAGAGATGGAGAATAATTCCCATCTGTTTGTAGGAGCGAACAAACAAGCCAAAACAATCCTTTTGCCAGCTCCCCACACACTGTTTTGATAGTGTTTCATCTCAGTTTATTGCTCCCTTCTGCTCTTGAGATTCAGGTGTTCAAGCAGACCACAATATGCAGTAAAATATAACACAACTTCAGACACAATAAGACACTTTATATATTTGGAAGGCACATTCCTGGTGCTCCTGTGGTTGAAAGTAGCAAGAGAACTTTGACCTTTGCTAGAAAGCAAATTTCCTTCCTCTTTTTAGAACCTAGGATAAAATGAGTTTTATTCTGAAGTTCATGGCAAAGGTACTCTGATCACTTAAAGAATCTTACACATTGCATCAGAAGCAAAACAGCAATACAAGAACAAGGAGCACATCACACATGCAGGCCAATACTGGAGGCCAGTGAAAAAGCTGTCCAGGGAGACAGAGAGAGCCACTGATGGAAGGAATATCATTATCTCAGCTAAAACCAGTCCTATAATGTTAATCAATAAATTTTAAAACCCCCTCAAATCAATCTTATTTAATGCTTTAAAGGGTTTCTCACTGACTCGCCTATCAAGCTCAAATAAGAGACCAGTTCTGCAAGAATAAAAGGAAGTGCTGAGGCCTGTGTAGCAATTTCCTCCCAGACTTTTCCTGCACCAAAGGTGCCCAGTGGGCATGAGGAAGTCACAAGGATCAGAACAAAAGCAAGAGCTTCCAAGGCATGTAGCACTTTGAGCTGTGTCTTCTCAGCTTCCAATCCAGTGCAGTTCTGGTACACTGATTTAAGAGGTTTGTGCTCTCCTGCTGACCTTGAAGGATTGCCTGCTGCTGCTGAATTCCATATATTGAATTTATGCTTTTAAACTAATGTAGCTAAAAGAAATTGCTTCTAAGGCTCCCAGTTACTGGTAGCCCCACAGATATCATTTTACCAAGCCTTTGCAGCACGCAGCTCTGAGATGGGGCACTCACAAGCATTTGACCATACAGTCTCCCTGCACTGCAGCACAGAAGATCCCAAAAGCTCTGCCTCCAAACCAAAGGCACATTTAGGCTGGCAGGGCTGGTTACTGAAAAGTCTAGCACTTCAAAAGTCCATTTGTAGAAACGGCAGGAGGGAATTTTGGTTTATCTTATTTTAAAACCAAGCAAGAAGCAAGCAGGGTTTCCCAGCCCACCAGAAGATGGCAATTGTAGCAGTAACGCCTTAGAAATCAGTGCTGTATCCACAGCCTTCAGCTCCACCTGCTGCTCCAGTGAACCAGCGTGACAAATAGGAGGCCATCTCTAAGGTCTTGTGCAGCAAAGGTCTAGAAGAGCTAAGACAGACCTGGCTATACAGGAATTTGTGTTCCTGACACTCTTGCAGCTGTGAGAGCATTGCCAGAAGCCAAGAGAAAGTTTACACTTCAGCAAATCACAAAGCAACAAAGCAAAGATTTGACCCTGTACCACCTGTGACCTGGGCGGTGTTTGGGGAACTTATCTGTGACAGAGGAAAGCATGGAATGCATCCACAGTGAGGACAATGTCAAAAAGGTAGCTGGGATTAAGGTTCTAGAAGACTCTGGACTGGAGGAAAAGTCCTTCCCACCAGTCAGGAAATGGGATGTACCAGAGACTCAGGAAGTGCATCCCTCCAAATCAGGTCCACAGGTGACACCACTGCAGAAACCAACACTCAAGGAGCAGAGGGAGAGAGCACACAAGAAAACAGCAAAAGTCTTTACACTGTCCTCACCCAGCTGAGCCTCCCAGTCCCCTAAAGACACGCACATCCTACCTCATAAATCCCAGGAACATCAGGAGGATGAGGCTGACGAGCCACCCTGCTGTGGCAAAGGCCTTGGGCATGGTCAGGGCTCCTGTTCCAACGATGAGGTTGAACATGTACACCAGGCCAACCTGCAATCAGCCACATGAGCCAGCATCAGAGCGTGCCAGGAATCATCCAGAACACCTCACACACACTCTGACTTAAATGGAGGGGGCAATCTCTCAGCATGGTGGGAACAAGTCCATGTGAGAAAGAACTGGAGGAGGGGACTGAAATCCAAAGAGAGCAGTGTGGGTATCAGCACATTTCTGGAGAAAATTATATTCCCCTCCATTTTTCTAATTATTTCAAATTATTTTTTTCTCTCTGGCTTGTGGAGTTATAAAGTACATGAGACTCTTGTTTGTTTTCAAATCACTGCCTTCTACCAGAATGTCTGTGCTGTGGGTTGGGGGTCTCCTTTTTTTCTGACCTGAACACAAGTAGTTATGACTGTGTACCTTTCAGGACCTTTTATTCTCAGTCAAGCAGGAAACATCCAAAGAGAAATCTAATTCAAAGCTTTCCTGTCATTTTACCAGTTAGAAGCTGAGCATATTCTGAAGAAGGGATTTTAGTTTCTGAAGGGAAAGGATTTTATGTTCTCTAGCAATGAGCTTTTTCAATGTCCAGAGACAAAAGAGAACTGCACTTGGACAGAACCCTCCAGGCTATGAATTTAGCTCAATTCAAGATCAAAAACTGCCAAAGTTGTTGTGCTTTAGTGTTTTGTTTTATTTTTTAATATAGGTCAGAGTCCCTCCAGAGGAAAGACAGTAAAGAGCTGTGTATGAACACACTTTTCTGGGCATAGAGCAATTAGCATCAGGAGAACTATTCCCCAGTGACACTGAGAGCACTTCACTGGCATAAGCACAGCAAATTCATCTTTTGCTGAACATCCCAGAACGATGATTTTCCTTTGGTCAAGCAGAAATGAGAACAGTGCCTGTAATGTTCCGCCTGGTTAGACATCTTCAGGGAAAGGGGAGAGTCTCAGCCCTTGAGATTATTCTAGGAAATTCATGCAGCACCAGCATAACAACATGAGAGCAGGTGACACTAATCCTTGAGGGCCTAAACATCCCAGTTACTGTCTTACTTCTCCATTTTCTCAGTTGTGACCTATTTCTGCAGCCTAATATCCACTTCTCCTACATTTAATCATTAACACGGAGATGAAAATTTTAAAGCATTTAAAATCCAACACACAGATTTCAGGGCTAGTTCTAAATTTATTGAGTTCACTTTAAAAAAAAAAAAAAAGGGTTTACAAAGTGCTGTTTTTAAAAGCTGACATGTTGTGAAGACCTGTGGCTATGAAAACTGGTATTTCCAGTAATTTAGGAAAGCAGTAATTGGCTCTGCAGTTGCACAGGACACCACATTACAGGGAAGAAACCTCTTAATTACTCACTCTCAGTGAAGTGGTATAAAACAAATTACTGCAACAGCTGCAGCTAAGTAAACTTTGAGAAATTATGGGGAAAATGTTTATATAAAGCAACAAAAGGGAAGAAAGTAGTATAGTTTCAATGTTCCAGTCCCCCCTGTTTATGCCAACGACAATTTGGGTTGATGAAAACATGAACAAAATGTAAGAAAGTGGGCAGAAGGATGAAAAGTTGGTATGGGACATGAAGCTCTTTTTAGCACTTCTAGATCTATACTTTAAGCACACATCATCCCTTTATGAAAAATGATCTGTGATGTAAAAAAACTCCACATAACTACAAACACTAAGCATCTTTAACCACCCTTTGACCTCCATCATCTCTTGAAATGCTGAGGTCATGTCCATGAGGAAGTAGGATTTGCAAACACAATGCTGAGGAAAGACAATTTTGAAAAAAATCTTGTGACCAAACCCCCAAGCAGTGGAACTTACATAGGGAGAGTAAAGCTCTCCGGTATCAGTGATGCCACCTGCCATCCTGGAGAGGGAGGGGAGCCCCAGAGCAAAGCCAGGAGGGTATTTTTGGGAGAGTGTTTTCAACTTCTGTCGTCTTTAACCTAGGGAAACATCATAACACTGTGTTATCTTTGCTGGAACAAGGAAGAACTCACAAGTTAGCTTTGGCACATCAGTTTGCTGGTATTTGAACAGATTCCAGCAGGATCTTGCCCTTCAGACAGACCCCACTCACCAGCACCACTTGGTAAGAAGTTTTTATACCTGTTAAACTGGTTTAAAAAGCAACCAAAATGCCCTGCCCTTTCACAGCATGTGATGACCAAACTTCATCTTCTCCAAACAGCCAGAGGGGCTGTTTCAGATAACTAAAACCTCAAGAGGAAAAATGACTGCCTTGAGGATGATCTCAAACTGCTGCTTCTCGTGTAGCTACTACTCCTGGCAAACATGTGCCTCCTGCAAATCAGAAAACCAGCCTAAAGTCTCTCTTCCTAAATTCAAGTACAGAAATAAGTAGACAAATGAACATATTGGACCTATTAAAGACACACCTAGATGCTTTTCACATACGAACGTTTCCAAAGTAGAAGCATTTGGGAAGCTTTACATTCCATCAAAAAAACTATAAGTGTATGGGAGAACTGAAGCCTTCTGGGAGGTTTCAGTGTCAATGATTACCCATAATTGAATTAAGGGCTTCACATGTCTACATGTGCTCCTACTCAGCCACACCAGCTGGGACAAGCCATCAGCACAAGATGAGCTCCACAAAAAAGCAGAGTTATAAGCTTGTACACCCACGCTGAATGCCAGAAAAGAATCAGGCAGCACAGCTCACTGAGGTCATAACTGGACCAGCCTCAGAAAAAGAGATCAAACACCACCTTTTATAACAAACCTCAGCTCAAAACTCTGAAGCCAAGCCTGGCAAACCGGGAGCAAGGAGCAAGACAAGGGACACTCCGGGACAGCGTGCCCCACCTCAGGCGGGGGGAACCGACCCCAGGGCCCACCGAGAGCACCAGAGCCCCCCGGCCCTACCCGGCCTGGCTCCCCCCGGGCCTGTCCCACGCATGGAACGCTGCTCCCTCTTCCTGCCCTCTCCGGGGTAACTCCCCCCACCACACAGAGCGCCTACAACCGCAGCAGCCCCCCACAGCTCCGCGGCCTTCTCCCCACGCCCGGGTCCCGCCGCTCCGGTGCACATTCCGCCCCACACCAGGACCCTCCCCAGGCCGCTACCCGCCCGTCGAGCCCCTCCCCGGCCATCATCCCACGCTGTCCCCACACAGGGCCGCCCGCAAATCTCCTCTGAGGGCCGCGTCCCGCCCAGGGCCCGCCGGGACCCCGCGGCCCCTCACCGGCAGCAGTGGCAGCGGCTCCTGCCGGCGGCCCCGCCCCCGGCCGCGCGGGAGCACTCACGGCGCACGCGCTGCCCCAGCGCGGGGCCTTCCGCGCACGTGACCGGCCCGCGGGGCGGGCAGGGGTGAAGGCGCAGGCCGTGATTGGGTGAGGGTAAGGGGCGGGGCGCGGGTGGGGACGGGGCGGGGCCTACAAGGGGCGGGAGCGCGAGTGGGCGCGGGCCAGAAAGGGGCAGGAGAATGGGGTGGGGCCAGAGGGGGGGCGTGGCCATGCTGGAAAGGGGCGTGTCCAGGAGGGCAGGAGCAGGCGGGGGGCGGAGCAGGGGCGGGGACAGGGTGAAGGCACCCACCGCGATTGGGTGAGAGTGAGGGGCGGGGCGCGGGAGGGGACGGGGCTGGGCCTACAGGGGGCGTGAGCACGAATGGGCGGGCCTAGAAAGGGGCTTGGCAGTGTAAATGAGGTGGGGCCAGCGGAGGCGTGGCCGTGCTGAGAAAGAGCGTGTCCAGGAAGGCAGAAGTGGGGAGGGGACAGGGTGATGACACCCACGCGACTGGGCCAGGGAGGAGCAATGGGGCAGTGGAGAGGCGGGGCGTGAGCGCGGAGAGGAAGGGGCGGGGTCACGGGGACAGCGATGACGTCACACACTTCTTGACTGGGAGGCTCGGGGGTCTGTGCGCATGCGTGGAAGGGGATAGGGCTGGCAGACCTCCGTACCGATTCCCGATTCTCGGTCCCGGATCTTCCCCTCAGCCCCGAGTGACCCGTCGGGATGTTGGAACAGGGATTCGGGATTGTTAATGTGGGGTTATTAGTGCGGCCTGGGAGATCCGGACAGTGAGAGCCGCCCCTCGCTCCCGAAAGGCGCCAGGCCACGCTGCCCCATCCCTTGACCTCGCCGCAGACACGGAGTGGGGTGTGGGGTCTTTCCCTCAGTGCAGAGGCCATGAAGATTAACCAGGACACGGTGCTGCGAGGGAAGAAGGTGACGCTGGTGCCCTACACTGCTGCACACGTGCCCCGGTACGTGCCCCATGCCCTCCCTGCACGCTCCTGCATGGTCTGCTTCCACTTCTCTCCTGAACTCAGTGTTGGGGTCAGGAAAGGAGCTGACTGCCGGTGCAGGGCCCACTCCCCTGTGAATCAGTCAGTGAGGTGCCCTCTGTGCCCGGCAGCACCATCCCTGTGCCAGCCCTGCTGTCAGGGACAGAGAACTTCACCTGTGCCACGGGGAATACCTGGCTGTGAGTGAACACAGCAGCTCTTCTGTTTATTGAGGCCTTTCCCTGGTGATGGGGGAAGAGAAAAGCTTCAGCATGTAAAGCTAGGTGGATGTTTGATAAATTAGGCATGCCAACAGTTTTGTAAAGTCAGTCAGCACAAAGATAACAGCGTTAGTGTTTAGTCAGTGTCCAGGAGGTGCTGTGGGATGAAATGCACCAGAACTCACAAACATCAGGTTTGCATTGGGCACTCCAGACAAAGCCACAGGACGGGCAAACTTCCTCACTTTCCACAGAGAAATCTGTGGAAATTCTGTCTGTGTTAGATAAGGGACAGAGACTTGTCCCTTACATTTTACATTTTAAGTTGCCACAAAAGCTGGGCTGGTGTTTGCAGAGGGATCCTGCTGTGGTGCTCAGCTGGGGCAGTGATGTGGGGCCGGGTCCATTGCCAGGTACCACGAGTGGATGCAGTCGGAGGAGCTGCAGAGACTGACAGCCTCGGAGCCCCTCAGCCTGGAGCAAGAGTACGAAATGCAGCACAGCTGGCGGGATGACGCTGACAGTGAGCATCTGCAATGCTTTCTGAGGGAGGGTGGGAGTGATGAGCAAGTTCTTTTCATTCTGGGAAGGATCCACAGTGAGCTGGGAGTGCCCCCGGAGTGGGTTCCCGTAAACCAGAGGGGATGTGAGACTTTCTACAACAGCAGCTTGAACTGATTTTCTTATTACAGCTGGTATATACTCAGGGAAGTGGAGAATATCCACTTCCTCGAGCTGTTTGTGTCCTTTTTTGTTGCAGTTTTCCAGAGACTGTAATGATTAATTTCCCACAGCATTTTGTGCTGAGCTAAGAATCATTAAGCATCACTCCTGCACAGCTAACACTCCCCAGGTCTGATCGTTGCAATAAGATGGAAGGGGATTATATTTCTCCTTGATAAATTGAATGCTTTTATGATCACCTGGTTGAGGTGTGTTGATTGAATTGGTTCCCTGACTCTCCTACAGGTAATGAATCACTGCCCATAAAAGCCTGGTAGAAATTTAGTGAGCTGGAAAATACTGAAGCTGGCAAAGACCTCAGTCTGGAGCATTTGTCTTAGGTGGCATTAAAAACCTTACTCAGAGTGGCAATAACATGGACCAGGTGAATCACTCAGTCTCAGCTTCTTGTGCACCAAACAATTCTTTGCCCCAACTTGCTGCTGAGTAAGACAAGGCAAGGAGACCTCAGACATGGGGAGGAAGTTTTCACACTTCTTCCACAGGCTTTTTCTAGTCTTGGTGTCTGTGTCACCCTCACAATGGATTTTCCCAAGTATTTCTTTCATTTCTGTGTGTGGGAACAGACGCACCTGGTGTAGGAAGCCAAATTATTAACCCTTGCTGTTAACATGTGGAAACTGTTGCTCCTCTGTCCATTGTACACCTTTAATTTCATTCTTTGGTAATTTATGAATAATTATCAGCACACTCTGAAGATGCTGCCACATTCTTGTTTTTCCTCAGAGTGCACCTTCATTGTGCTGGACTCAGGGCGCTGGCCTGGGCAGGCAGAGGAGAACTCCATGGTGGGGGATGTGAATCTCTTCCTTACCAACACTGAGGACCCGACTCTGGGCGAGATTGAAATCATGATTGCAGGTCAAGTTCTGCTTCATAGCTTGGGGCTCTGTCACTGTGGCTGCGTGCTGCAGACAGATGTTGATGTTCCTGCATCAGCTTTTTATTCTCATGCTTTACCATGGCTTTACCATGGCGTGTCCAGGTCACAGCCTCTTCTCAGAAGTGTCTGGTGTGGCTGGTTTGTCTGCCCTAACTGGATGCTGACTCTGTGCTGTCTCTTTCAGAGCCCAGCTGCCGTGGTAGAGGGTTTGGCAAGGAGGCAACTCTGCTGATGATGGCCTATGGTGAGGGTGGCTCAGTGCACAGGAACAGGAGTGTGGTGGGGCTGGCATCTGGGGGCACATAATCCTGGTGACATGGGCAGGGTAGTAAGGGATGCATCTGCCCCACAACTGGAGTCCTGTGCTTTTATAGATGTGGCACATAATAGAAGTGTTTCTCTCTCTGATTTATCCTGCAGGAGTGAAAAACCTGGGGATCACCAAGTTTGAGGCTAAGATTGGTCAGGAAAACGAAGCCAGTATCTGCATGTTCAAAAAGCTTCACTTTAAGGAGGTACAGTAATAGCCCATCTCCCCAGAGAATGTGAGCAGCATTTGTTTGCCCTGTGGCTGAGGCCGAGCTGCTTTCTCTCTGTGTGCTACAGGTTGCTGTGAACAGCATTTTCCAGGAGGTGACGCTGAGGCTGGATGTCAGTGACCAGGAGAGACGGTGGCTCCTGGAGCAGACAAACCACGTGGAGGAGAAGAGCTACGCTGAGCTGAAGCAGCCAGCTGGGGCGCTGGACAGCTGACAGACACCTCCAGACACCAGCTGGGCTTCCAGGGAGAAGTTGGACCTTGTTTCAAGGTCTGGGTGTGGAGGACACCCGTGAGCCAACACTGGAACTTTTCATCTGTCTCCTTCAGCTGCTTTGTCATCTTGTCAACTTAGCACTTTGCTCTGCCAGCCAGGATTACTGCTTGAAACTTGGACCTGGGGATCAGATGCTAACTCACAGGTTTGGCTAGGAATGACTCTCATTTTGATATGCTGTTCCAACAGAGCCTAAAATCGCCAGCAGTTGATTCCAGGACAAGCAGAAACTTCTCTCACCGTTCTTAAATCAGGATTCATCAGTGAGGAGGTTTCATATACTGGCAGCTCAGTCTTTTTTACTCTTCAATAAAAAAAAAATCACAAAGATCTGAGGAGCCTGAGCACTACATGGGGTTCAACTGGTCTCTTTGGCAGCTCGAGGAATGGTTTAGAAGTTGTAAAGGACAGCAGACACTCTTTAAAGCCAGTTTCCTGGGTCCTGGTAGGTTGCAGGGGGGCACTGCTGGCTCCTGGCAGGGAGAAGCCCAGATGTGGGTGAGCACAAAGGGCAAGTTAATATGATGGAAATTGTTGATACTGGCTAATCAAGACTAGAGCTGAGCCCCAGCACGACGAGGGGCCTGAGAGCTGCAGGAGGCTTCTAAGACAAACTCCCTTCAGCTTCAGGGCTGTGCTTCAGATCTCAAAGCCTAAGGCCAGCAGTGATGTTGCACTTCATTTTCCTTGGCTACTTTGATGAAAGCAAGGAGAGCATGCTGAAAGGGGATAGCTCCCTTCTTCCACCAGCTCAGGACTTACTCTTCTGAGCCTGGAGGCTTCATTTGCTGCTCTCCACTAAGATAAAGATGGGGGAAATACCACTTACTGAGGGGCAGATATATTTAGGGCAGGAGTTATCCAGCATCTGCTGCAGTAGATCTGAGATCCATGGATGAAAAAGAGGCACTTGCCTGACTCTCACTGTACAAACTTGCCTGTGTAGTTACTCAGCCTGACCTGTCCTGCCCTACACAGGCTGTCCACAGCAGGGAAGCTGCTAAGAGGAGAGGACAGAAGGTAAGAAGGATAACTGTTGCTCCTGTGTGTTTTCTTACTGTAACAGCAGCTGCAATGGCTAATCCTAGACCACAAATTATCTGTTTCAGTGATGGAGGATCAGGTAATAACTTTCAGATTTGCCCTGGGATGTTTTGGAGATTGGCAGTCTGTGGAATTTTTAGTGTTGCTGTGCCTGTATTTTTAGGGCCTGGGGGCTTTAGCTTTCCAATTTTAGCTAATTTAAATACATGACTCCTGTGACTAATATTAAAGCCAAGGTTGGGAACAGTGTATCTTGGCATTTTAAACAAGTATTTAGTGTAGATTTAGTTGTAGTGAAAGCTTTGTGTGGTAATAAAGTGAAGAGCAGCTCTACTTCCCGTTGGGATTACCATGACAAGGGCTACTAATCCTCCTGCTCCTCGTCACCTGCTGCAGGCAGAAATGGATTCTGTCCTCCAGAACAAGATTTACAGAACCTGCTGGGTGAGCTGCTGGCTCTGGTGCTCCTTCTGTGAAGTGTCTCATCCCTGTGCCAGAGCAGCAAGGCCAAACCAGCAGGCGAGATGTAGCTGGGCTGGGATTTTCTCCCCTAAAACCGGACCAAGGTGAGAAAAACAATTTATTTTAACCTCTGCTGCCAGGGGGAAGGGGCAGGGTGATGTCCTGTCAGCTCCCCATGCCCAGCTGGTTGCTCTGGAGCCAGCGAGGGCCCTGCTTGGCATCCCCGGTCCCCGGCAACGCCGGCGCTGCCCCGGCTCCACAGGCGGCTGGGAACAGCCTTTTCCTGGCAACCCAAAACAAAGTTGGGTCTGTCCTGGAGCTCAGCCCGCCCCAAAGGCTGGGGAGAAGAGTCTCAGCAGGGCTCAGACAGGTTTCCCACAGGGAACCAGTGCCCAGCTGCTCTGACCAGGCCAAGAGGCCAAAGATGCTGCTGGGACCCACAGGGTGCCCCCAGTCCTGTCCTTCCCCACCCTTTGGCATCCATCCCAGGCAGAGGTGTCCTGCTGCCCCAACGGGATGAGGATGGGGAAACAGGGAATGGGGGCTCACCTTCTCTCAGAGGACACGTCTTGGGAGAAGGAGACAGGTTGGAATGGGCTCCCCCAGCTTCCAGGAGGAGGTGACATGCGGCACATCCCCCAGAAATCTGGTGGCACTTTGTCACCTGGGTGTCATTTGAGGTGCAAAGATCTGTGACCATTCGTGTGCTCAGGTGGAAGAGCTGCTTTGCAGATTTGGAGCACAAAACAAGAGTGTGCATTAAGGGAGGAAGTGAAGATACCAGAGGCCAGGCACAGCCCTGCCCTGTGCCACCAGTCTGGCCCCACTGAGCCACCCAGGGCTACATCCATTCATTCAGAGGGACAAGCATCCCTCTCCTCACCAATCCCCCCTTCCTTCCCTCAACCCAGGCTCATCCTAAAAACCTCCATAGGGGCTGGGGGCACATTTGGGCTGCCCACAACAGAGCAGCTGCCCTCCAGCCTGGCCAGCAGATGCAGATCAGAGCTCTGCATCACCCCCCTCACCCTCCCCCTCCTCTCCTCCCTTTCCCCCTCCCCCAGCACTCCCTTGGGGATTAAAGCCCATTAATCACCACAAGGCATTAACCCCACTGGGACCAGCCAGTGCCTCCCCAGCCCCCTCAACCTGTCCCCTCAGGTGCTGAGGGGTACCCAAACCAGGCCCAGTGTCCCCCAGTTACCTGCCTTTCCCCCAGGCCCCTGCAAGGCCTCTGCACCGCCTCTGGTTCTGGAAGGATTTAGCTTTAAACCAGACTTGTGAAGTCAGAAAGGTTTATTCCAGTAAACAGAATTTTTCTTGAGCTCAACAGTACAACAACACCTGATTACAGCACATGGAAACAAAACATCCACAGGAAGAATTTTCACAAAATACAGGTAAAAAAAAATAAAGATGTGATTGGAAAAATGCTTATTTCAGGAAAAAAAAAAGTCTGTGAGAAGCTTTTAAATTAGACAGTGTTGGATTCAAACCCTGATTGGCTGTCTCCGGAAGTGTGCAGGAGCAAAGGAGACTATTATTGCTTGCTGTGCTGGCTCCAGACACCCTCTCCTCTCCCAAAATTGCCCCAGGACAGGGTGCTGGGCACTCCCCAGTGCCGGGCTCCCATAGCCCTCCTTGCAGCTGAAGAGGCAAAGGGACAGGGTCACTGTGGACGGAGCTTGCCAGGCCAGGGTCAGACACCTGGCTGTAGTCAGTGGCTGGCCAGGTGGAGTTTGGTAGAAGACACTAAAAGCCTCAGGTTTTGCAGTTAAAGGGTAATTTAGGGGGGGGATCTCAAATGGAGATGGGGTTTGGGGTGGGGAAAAAACCAGGGAACAATGGGGACCAGGAGTGTTGGGCATCAGGCCACCTCAAATCCTTGATCCCTCCCAAACCCCTGCTTGTGCCTACCAGGGTGTGCAGGGCTTCAAGGCAGGACTGGAAGAACACCCTGGGGATGAGCTTTTGGGAGGGGACACCCTCAGCACCCCCAGCCCAGAACCCCTCTGCAGGGATGCTCACTGGCCACCAAACCCCAGCACTTGGGTCAGGGTGGTAGGGAGCAGCCCCTCATCTGCTCACGGCAGGAGGAGTGCAGGAGAGGTGGGTATGGGGCTGGGGGAAGCTAGAAGACCCTCACCCTGCCTTAGGGCCTTCACAGGTTGCTGAACAGTTCATTTTTCTTGCTCCAGTCCATCTGGGGTGCCCTCTTGCTGGTGCGCTTCTGGTGCGCCCGCTCCTTGGCCACGGCCAGCGGGATGTCGAGGTCCAGGAGGGAGCCGGATGCTGAATGGCGTTTGTCACCCTCCTGTGTGTGAGGCTGGGGACGAGAGGTGGTGTCAGCCCCACTGTGTGTCCCCTGCACAGCCCCATGGTGGGGGTGCAGCCCAGATCCCGCTTTCCAGCCTTCCCCCAGTATTCTCAGCCCTACCTCGCTGTGGGTCTCGCTGGAGTTGGGGGACACAGCCAGCGGTGTGGGGCTGGATGGGCTCTCAGACACCGAGTTGGACCGTGGCTCTCCTCCATTTTCCTGAAGGGAGCAGGGAGAGAGTGTGAGCTCCAGCCCTGGGGCTTCAGAACAGCCTGCTGAGTTGCAAGTCCCACCCAGGGTACAATGAAATCCGCCCTCCCCACCCTAATCCCCTGCAAGCTCCAGGCACATAAATACCTCTAGCACTGCCCATCCGGAGTGGGAAAGGATTAAACCCCGGCCTGACTGCCCTGGCTTTAGCAGGAGCAGGAGGAGGAGAGTGGCTGCAGGGCTGGGTGCTACACTTCCCTACTGCAGCATGAGGGCTCCCAGCCCTGGAGCATCAGAGAGCAAAAGAGAGAAGGAAAACAGCCACCTCCATGACACTCAGCACCACAAGCATCGCCCTTCCCAGTGGCACCAGCTCTTGTGTGGCAGCCTGAGACCACTGCAGTGTCTGGTGGCATCACCCACCCATGGGCAGAGGGGACATGAACAGGAGGGTCCCTGACTGGAGATGTAAACAGATAGAATTAAAATCAAGACGAGGCTCTTACCTTCCCTATATCACCGTTGGCAACTGGTTCTGGCAAGGGACCTGTGGGATAAGGACACGGGCACCGGGTGAGGATGTGTTTGCTTTGTCCCCTTGCCAGTGCAGGGCAAGCCAAGGCTGTACATGGCCAATGCTCATGTAACACTGCCCAGGGTCTGGCCAGGTCTTGAATTTTGCACCCAGCCCTGTGGCACAGGGAAATCCTGCCAGACATATCCCCATGATGGCAGCCATGATGTGAAGCCCCTCCCCATCGTCCTGGGGACCACTGTGACAGCAGGGAAAGGGCCAAAGAGAAGACCAAAGGGCAGCTGATGCCTGTTTGCTCCCCGAGCCATAAACCCTGCCAAAGTGCAACCCAGGGCCATAAATCTGCCCACGTCAGCCCCACCAGCCTGGCACTGGGCCCTCGGCCAGGCAGGGAAATGCCAAAGCCAGGTGACTGCTTGGCCCCAGGGTGATAAGACCACCTTCCAGGGCTCAGCACCCTTATCTTTGGTGAGAGGGTGACACAGAGGCAGCAGACGTGGCACAAGCCCCTCCCAGCAGCACAGTCCCCAGCCCACCTGTCAGGTGCTTCTCTGAAGGGACCACCTTGCACTTCTTGAAGAACTCATCCGTGAGGACGTCCACCACCAGCAGCCTGGTCTCGTCACCACTTGCCTTGATGGCTGCTACCACGTCACTGTGCTGCTTGCCTTCCATGCACACACCATTCACCTGCAGGCACCACATCACCAGTGAAGCTGGGGAACATCCATCCCTCAGAAGCACCATGGAGGGGTCAGGTACCAGCCTTGGTATCAGTCACAATCCCAGCACAGCCACCTCATAGCCACAGGCATTCGTGGCCTCACAGGGATTACCAATGAAGCCAGAAAAACCTCATTAAAAGCAGATTTTCCTCTGAGTGACTAGTATAGGATCGAATGGGCAAAGCTGGCAGGGAACTCCCAGCGGCACATGGGCTCAGGGCTGGCACAAAACCCTCGTGCCATGCCATGGTCTCCAGAAACCACAAAAGCGTCACCCCAGAAGAGGCAGCAGCCCCACACCCTGGTGAGCAGCAGGGCTGGGGCTCAGTTGGTCCTTGCTCTCGTGGATCATCATCCCACCTGAGCTGGCACAAACCTGAGCTCATCCCCACCCCGGTCACACCTGACAGCAGGACTTGTGACCACTGTGCACCTTGTCCCCAGCCTGCCCCACCCCAGGGGCATCCTGGGGACAGGGGACAGTGCTATTGCTAATTAACCCCCAGACAACTAATTACTGCTCAGTCCCAGCGCTCCACAGTGCTGCACCCCTGGGTGGGGACGGGCAGGCTGGTGCAGGTTGGGGTGAGTCACTGCCGGCACCAGGGACACTGTGCACCTTCCTGGCCAAGGGCAGCTGTCTCCCAGGCACCAGGATGTGAGGGAGGGACCCCTGAGACCTCCCCTCAGCCCAGCACACCTCGATGATGCGGTCCTGGGGTGCCAGCCCTGCTGCCTCAGCCGGCGAGCCGGGGTCGACGGCGCGCACGTACTGCCCTGGGCGGCTCTTGTCACTGTGCAGGTTGAAGCCATAGCCATCAGGGCCCTTCTTCATGTGGCACAGCCGAGGTCTCAGCTCCTCCTGCAATGGGAACAATCTGTGGGTGAACTGCTTCTGGACCCCCCAACACCGAGGGACAGCACCAGGAACCCCAGAGAGCTGCTGGAGTGGCAGGGACACCATCCTTGGCTGGCCACCTGTGGGCACTGACACCTCAAGATGGGATGCAGGGTGCCAAACACCTTATGATGCGGGGCTCTAATTAATTAATTAGGTGCAGGGCACACTAATTGCAGTGAAACAGTGAAGAAACATGTTATTATGT